AAATGGATAACTCTAAGATACAAAAATGGTTTAAAAAAAAAGCATGTGAGAGGGGATAGTGCAGAGACAGGCATGCAGAGAGAGGCATGCATGCATGCGTACTAAATTGCTTCGCTCATGTCCAACTCTGTGCAACCCTATGAACTGTAGCTCACCAAGCTCTTCTGTCCATGGGATTCTCCAGGCAAGAGTACTAGAGTGGGTTGCCATGCCCTCCTCCAAAGAATCTTCCTGACCCAGGGATCAAACCCAGGTCTCTTATATCTCCTGCATTGGCAGGTGGGTTCTTTACCACTAGCATCACTGCAGAGAAAGGCATAAGTGATGAAATGAGACAGTTCTTGCCCTTCCCTGAGGGCTGCCCCTCTCTCTCTTTCACACACACACACACACACAACAGTTTTATTTAGTATTTATGATCATGAAATATACCTTGTTTTATTTGTGCCAACTTATCTCCAGGTTTTACTGGAAAAGGCAGAATGGGCAACTTGAAAGTGATTTTGGAATCAAAATCCTTTTGTAACAATCTTGGTGTGCCACTGGTGCTTGCATGTAGAAAGTTGGGGAATTAGTTTACCAAGCAAGAAAGATAAAGTTTACCAAGCAAGGAAGTCTTGCTTTCTTCAGGAAAATGGCTGGCATGGTAATATTTATCTCTCAGGGTTTTTATGAGGATTAAATGAGTGAACTTTTCTGACCACACTTTAAAATTGTCATGTACTGAGAAATATGAGCTATCTTTGATAAATGGTAAGTGGAGTACTTATAAAATGTGAAACACCCAGTCGGTATCTATTGTTATCCATCAATACTATTATGATCGTTTATTTTCAATTTTGAATTGAAGTTTTAAAATACAGAGCTTTCTAGGTACTGTCAGTATCATTTATATGCAGTGTTGCTTAACTTGGGTAATACTTGAGAATATTTCTATTTCCTTTTAATTTTCTGATGTTTGATACCTTTATATACAAATCAATGCAGATTCAGCAGTGGCTTTTGTTAGAACTCTACCCACAAGTGTGAGATGCATCGTGATCACCACTGGTTGGCCATGTGTGGGGCAGTTGTAGGGGATACTCAGTGTCCTTCAGGAAACTAAGCACTGTCCTGTCTTCAGGCTTGTCTAAAATTACATTTGGATTCCAGCTCACTGGATTCCAGTGCTTTTGTGGTTTAGCAATAGCCAAATAAATTGCAATCAGTTTATTTAATGTTTAGTCTAAGTGAGTGGGTTACATTGACTAAACACTCAAGATCTTCCCACAGAAAACTGAGTCCCTTACTGCTATCTCCATTATTTTTTTTCTTTAGAACATTTGTTAACACAACCAGCTTTCACTGTGCTAATGAAAGCAAAGTTTAGGTGCATATTGCTAAGGCGAATGAGACCGGCTGTGAAATGTTACTTTTTTTTTTTTTTTAATTTTTTTGCATTTTATTTATTTTTCCATTTATTTTTATTAGTTGGAGGCTAATTACTTTATGATATTGTAGTGTTCATCGCAGCACTGTTTATAATAGCCAGGACATGGAAACAACCTAGATGCCCATCAGCAGATGAATGGATAAGGAAGCTATAGTACATATACGCAATGGAATATTACTCAGCCATTAAAAAGAAATGTTACTTTAAAATGCAAAGCAAAAGAATTGAGAGTTTTCTCAGGCTTTTAAAAGAATTCTCACCAAAATATTCTTTTCCTGAGAACTAAACAGGACTGCTCCCTTGAATCTCCACCTGGTTCCTCATTTTTTCTGCTGATAGGTTTTTTTTTTCCCTCTCACTCTACTTATAGGATGGTAGCATTTGTTTCTAGTGGTTTGTCTGCTAGCACCTGTCTGCACCGTTTAACCACCCTGGACCGTGATCCATCAGACTTTACCTTGGTGCTTCCCAGGAATGACTCCCAAGCTTCTTGGGGTTGCATTCCACCATGTTCCAGTATGTGGTCAGAGAGCAATACAGTGTTCATGTGGCCTCTGCTCATAGCAGAAGATAAGGAAGCACCTCTAGTTTATGGCCTCCCCTGTCTTCCCCTCCTGGAAGGAAACTTTTTATCATCAGGAATAGCTTGTGTGAGAGAAGTCACAGGTTGCCATCAGGTCTGTGTTCAGGGTCTTAGTGTCACTTTTTTTTTTTAAAGAAAATCCTGGGTCATTTTCTCTTTTCTTATATTACTTTTGTTATTATTTAAAATTTATTTATTTTTGGCTGCACTGTGGGGCATGCAGGATCTTAGTTCCCCAGCCAGGGATGCTCTCTGCAGAGCAAGTGCAGGGTCTTAACCACTAGACTGCCAGTCAAGTCCCTTAGTGTGACTTTTAAAGGGGCTCAATGTCCTGGCTGACCTCAACCCTGAGGTTCACCTGCTCCTCCAGCGTTGGTGTAGGGCTTGTTTCACTGTGCCCCACTCAGATGACAGAAGCCCTAGTGTAGAGCTTGTTTTGGGATTGGGCGCTTTTCATTCTGAAGACACGGGGGAAAATCAGAACGTGAAGTGCTGGACCTGTGTGCATGTGCACTTCTGCCTTCCATCCCCATCTTCTGAGTCCTCCCTGCTCCCAGGTGCATCACGGGAATGGAGATCATCATATCCCATGATGACAAATGGCACCCTTGAGTTCAACTATTCCTCCTCAAGCTGAGAGTGTGATTTACATCTTTCTTCGATAAACAGGCAACTGATTTGGACTAGTATCTATGAAAGACAGAGGATGTGATAGCTGGATGGCATCGCTGACTCAATGGACATGAATTTGAGCCAATTCTGGGAGACAGTGAAGGACAGGGAAGCCTGGCGTGCTGTATTTCACGGGGTTGTAAAGAGTTGGACATGGCTTAGTGACTGAGCAATGACAAATAAATGGTTACTATTTATATAAAGTGTACATAGATAAGAAACTATTTCCTCCCAGCACCAAAGCCATTAGCTGATAAGCACGACAATAGCAATAATTGTTTGATATGAAAATTTGTGTCTATGTGAGAAACCCAATTACAAATAGTAGAGAGGTAAAGTTCAATGTTCTGAACAGTTGGTCAATTTTATGTATCATCACAGCTGATCATGAGAACAACACACACAGGCCCACAGGTCGCCTTGCTGATCCTCAAATGGGTCAAGCAGACTTCTGCATCAGAGCCTCTTCCCTGCTCATTCCTCTGACTTCAATACTTTCCACCCAGCTACTTTCTGTGTAACTCCTCTCCTTCTTCCCCCAAGTTTCTGTTCAAATATTATGTCAATAGATCACCTGCTTTGAAGCACCCTGTATAACATGGCATCTTCCTATCCCCCCCAGTCATCCTCTGTCTGTCTTAGGCGGTTTATTTCTCTTGCACAGATTGCCACCTGACATATTTTCATTCTGGCATATTGGTTTGTATGTCTTTCTTTTGTTCTTTGTTGAATTCTAAGAGACTAGAACAATGCCTTGCATAGCATAGGCACTGACTATTATTCATGGAATGAGTGAATACAGGCAGTCTGGAAGCTTTATCTTTCAACCTCACAAGGCAAGACTTATTTTTGGCGCTGCTTCGGCTCTGGGATATTCTTTTTAAGAAATTAATAGTAGTCATGGAAACAATTTATTAAGTGCCTGTCATTTTCTGGTCACTTTTTTTGTATCACGTTATTTTCTCTCTCTTTCTCTCTCTCTTTTTTTTGTCTCTGGGATTCAGACCCCCAGGGCCTTTGTTCCTTAGCTTGCAAGGCCTGTTTTGCCCAGAGCCATTTCCCAGTCCTCTTCGGAAATGGCTGTAGGTGTGTTTCATACCTACCTACACTCATTACATACTCCCAGATAGACATGGCTAGAGATTTCATAGCTTTCATTTTAAAAGTTTGGTCAGTTATGCATCAGATAGTACCTTTATTATTTTATCTTTACAGGAAATCTATGATAATAATTTTATCCCCGATTAAAAAATGAGTAAAAGGTAGCTCAGAGAGGTCCAACAATCTGGCCAGGGCCACACAACAAGTAAGAAGGGAAGCCATGACCTCAAACCATATCCTCGTGCCAAAGCCAAGGCTGATGCCATCTCATTAGATGAGCTCTCAGAAAAACAGCAAGCAAAGCAAGATGTTGCACTGCTTACTGAGCAAAGCTCAGCCTCATGGGCAGTAGCTAAGGGCTAGTTTAGCTAACTAGCTAGCAAAGACCTGGCTTGGAATCCTAGCTCTGCTCCTGAAAAGAGTAAGGCATCAAGCCAGCTCTCTCTTTGTCTCTCTAGCTCTAGTTTTAAAATCAACTTAATTGAGGTAAAATTAATATACACTGAAATATACCCATTTTAAGCACGCAGTTTTAATGAGTTTTGACAAATTTATGTACTTTGTAACCACTGGCACAATTAAGATATAAAACATTTTGTAAAAGATATAAAATATTTCCATCACTCCAAAAAGCTCCTTTGTGCCCCTTCACAGTCAAATTCTCACTCTCTACCTCCCTCCCCTCAAGGAATCAGGCAACTAATTCTATGCTTTGGGTCTTCAGAGATTAGTTTGTGTTTTCTAGAACTTCAGATAAATAGAATCAGGCAGTACACAGGCCTTTGTACTGCTGCTTATACTCGGCAAGATGTGTTTAGATTCACCCATGTTGTCGTGTGTACCAGAAGTTCATTTTTTAAATTGCTGAATATGCTCTGTTGTATGAAATTTATTTATTCATTCTCCCACTGATGGACATTTGATTGTTTCCAATTTAGGTTGTTATGAATAAAGCTGCTGTAACTATTTATGTGCAAGTCTTTGTGTAAACATAAGTTTTTATTTCTCTCGGGTAGAGATTTAGGAATGGACTTACTAGGTTGTCCTTGTAAACATGGGAAGTTCATGTTGAAGTTTAGAAAAAACTGCCAAACTCTTTTCAAGCATAGTTGTACCACTGAGATGTTTCCTAGCGTTGCGCTGCTCATTTGTAAAATGAAGATGTTTGATTAGATAATCTCTAAATTCCCTTCTCTTTTGTGATTCTAGGACCTGCTGTGCTAGAATTTTTACCTTTTCCTGTCTCAAGGTAGTGTAATCTGTTATTCCTTCTTTTTTAAAAAATGTATCTTTTTTGTTTGTTTGGCTATACTGTGTGGCTTCCAGGGTCTTAGTTTCTCAACTAGGGATTGAACCTGTGTCCTCATCAGTGAAAGCAGAGTCCAGTGAAGGCTCTGGACCACCAGGGAATTCCCTTCTTTCACTTATCTGAATTTCTACAGATTTGTCTTGTACCTGTTAGTATTGTTGATGATGATAATGATAAGAGAAAGTTATCATTTTTTGATAAATTTATGTGTCAAGCATAAGGCTAAGTGTTTTACCTAAATTTTTGTATCTAATCCTCACACTAAACATTTTCAGTAGATATCATTTTTATAATCTATCTTTGTGTTGAAGCAGCTAAAGATCAGAGAAGTTAAGTAATTTCCCCAAATCAACAGCATTATTAAGTGGCAGAGCTGGGAAGCAAAATTAAGTCTGTCTTGATCACTTCTAAATTACTAATTTCTAGCTTTTGCTCTGATGTCCTGGCTGATACTGCATCTTTTATACGACCCTAAGATCTACCTTGCACAATTCTGACCTCCTTCACCTTCTCTGTGTTGTTTACCAGTTTTTCTTCCACACCCTGGCATGACATCAGTGTTCAATGATCCAGCAACTTTCCAGAAGGCACCAAAAAAAAAAAAGTAGTTTAGAGTGAGGCAAGCTTAAGATCATCTTACTTATGTCAGCTCCATTAAGTTTTCATTAACAGTCAGAATGGGGTTTCTTAAATCAGCATAATGCCAGTAAGCATTACTTTGAAAAAAGAAATGCTTAACCAATAAGATATCCTGTCTATATTTTGTCTGAATCTAGAAAGCCCAGTCACTTCAAAGCATCATAGAGGTCATTGCTATTTTGCACTGGACAATTAGCATCATCCTTCTCATCAAGTGGTGAAATTACCATGTTAGCTCTTTGCAGATCAGAACGTATTATTGGCTCTTCATGCTTTTCTATGCAGTCATCATTAGGCATAACACGGACTCGGATACTGAATATTATCATTTAGATTAGTGAAGAATTGTGTGCATATACTAAGCATTTCCCTCTCAATTGTTTTTTCAGTATATGTAGGGCAAAAGCCAAAACTGTATCACTCTCATTCTTCACATGACCATATAATGCTTAAGTTTCACTATGTGGCTTGTGAGTAAACCATTTCTGACTTTCAAATTATTTATATTGCTTATCAAGTAATAACATTAAAAAAAAATCAAGAACATTTATTGACTTCAAAGAGTCCTGATGGGACTTCTGAAATTACTTTTTCTGAAGTGACCTCTGCTCTACACTCTACCTAGAGACTTGAGGAGTTGACTCAAATCCCCACTCCCTCATGAGTGTGTTCTGACTATTTTATTTTCACTGTTCTCAGTTTTTGAATTTCTAAATCATTTATAGTCACCTCTGGACATTTTAAAATTTAAATATGTGTTGTATTTTATCACTTGTGTTTCACTTGTAGAGAGACATCATGGAATCCAAGACAGAGTATGAACACTGAATTCAGACAAATATGGGCTTTTCCATTTAAAAATGATGTGACTCTGGGCAAACTCCATGTCTTCTATAGGACTCAACTGCCTCATCTGGAGAAGCAGATAGCACTGCTTACAAATTATGGTAATAACAGCTGTCTCATGAGGTCCGTGCAAACCTTAAATGACTTAATACATGGAAATGGGCATGTGGAAAAAGCCAAACAAATGGGAGCCCCCCACCCTTTTCCCCTGTGAAGATTTTAAATTCCCTGTGGTAGAACCAAGTCTTATGCCTCTGGATGTATTGCGTCCATGTATTCATTTAATACAAACTTATTCAGCACTTAGCTTTGTACTAAGCAAAGAACTCAGGACCATGAACAGTCATGAACAAGCCAAGCTTCCCTTTCCTGTGGACTTATGATCTAGTTGATTGTAGACCTATACAAATGTTCACCTGACTTACGATGGTTCAATGTAAGATTTTGTTGTTTTGATTTTTAAAAATTTATTTTTTAATTTATTTTTTACTTTAAGATGATGTGAAAGCCAAATGGATTCAGTAGAAATGGTACTTGGAATTTTGATCTTTTCCCAGCCCAGCAGTATTTGGTACGAGGCGCTCTTGTAGCACTGGGCAGGAACAGGTTGCAGCTCCCAGTCAGCCCCACGGTCATGAGGGTGAACAGCCAATACACTGACAACCATCCTGGATCCAGATCCCGAGTCTGTTTTTCACTTTCAGTACAGTATCCAATAAATTATATGAGCTATTCAACACTTTATTCTAAAATAAACTTTGTGTTAGATGATTCTGCCCAACTGAAGGCTCATGAAAGTGGTATGAGCACATAGGCTAAGCTCTGATATTTAGAAGGTGAAGTGCATTAAATGTAATTTTGATATATGATATTTCCAACTTAGGGTGGCTTTAGCAGGATATAACCTCCAACTCTTGCTGGAGTAGAGAAAAAAACATATTTTTATGATGGTGCCTCTTCTCACTCACTTCATGTTTGTACTTCCATTTTTTTTTTAAAGCTGTTGTGGGGATTATATTTTGGCAACAGAGGGGGTGTCTTGTCCATTCACATTCAATCTTTTCTAGACAGTCTTCTCAGATTGTGGGGTGTCAAAGGGATCAGTTATACTCCAGCAAGTAGGTCATATTCAGGGGTCAGAGTCCCCCATTTTCTGGAGGATTTCTGGAAGGGAAAGGTTACAGGTCTACAAGGGGAGGGTTACAAATCCGATGCCCTCCCAACACCACCCATACCCCTCCTGGGGTTGGGAGGGGAAATATTCCGCAAGTGTTCTCTGTGGGTGAAGCACTGCATTAGGTACCAAGAGGACTTCCCTGAAAGCTCAGCTGGTAAAGAATTCACCTCCAATGCAGGAGATCCTGGTTCGATTCCTGGGTTGGGAAGATCCCCTGGAGAAGGGATAGGCTACCCACTCCAGTATTCTTGGACTTCCCTTGTGGCTCAGCTGGTAAAGAATCCGCCTACAATGTGGGAGACCTGGGTTCGATCCCTGGGTTGGGAGAAGGGAAAGGCTACCCACTCCAGTATTCTGGCCTGAAGAATTCCATGTCAGACACAACTGAGTGACTTTCACTTTAGGTACCAAGAATAATTTTGCATTGAAGAAACATATGATTTAGACAGGAAATCAACTTACATGCATTTAATTGAAAAGGTAAATTGTAACACAGAGCAAGATCATTTCAAGTAAGAGGAGGCCCAGAGCAACTAAAATTACTAGATAAAATATAAAATTCTTTCATAAAAGCATTGAAGATGTAACATGGGATGGCAAGGAATTATTTAAGAGCTCTGGTTTAGAGAGTTGAGCAGATCACTGCTTCAACTTTGAGGACATTTGCTGATCTAGTTTAAATTAAGCTGTCAAACACAGCTGTGGGTTTGAAGGGCTCAGTATGAAGGGGAACCAAAACACACCAAGTTCGTAGTCAGATCTGGTCACTGTCACAAGCAATGCTGGGCAGATGGATCAGTAGAAGCTGAGTGAAGTCTGAGGCTTAAGTTCAACCTAAGTAGAACACCTAGGTGCTAGTTGTAGGCAGAGAAGAAATTCTCAGTGTAAAGCCTTGGACTAGACCAAGCGCTCAGACGAGCGCCAACAGGTTCAGAATGGAGAGTGGGAGACAAAACTTGGGCTTTTAGTTGGGGTTGGGTTTGAGCAGCTGGATCTTTTAAAGCCAGTGGGCCAGGCTGAACATCTCTAGGCATTCCTCATTTGACTGTGCTTCGTTTCATTGCACTTTAAAGACACTGCATTGTTTTTTTTTTAATAAGTGGATGGTTTGTGGCAACCCTGCACCAGGCAAGCTGTCAGCACCATTTTTTTTTTCAATAGCATTTGCTCACTTTGTGTCTCTGTGTCACATTTTGGTAATTCTCACAATATTTCAAGCTTTTTATTTCTAAGTCTTCAAGATTCCTCCATGTTTTAGCAGGTGTCAGAATTTCATTTCTTTCTAATGCTGAATTATATATATATATATATATATATGTATGTATGTATAAACACTTTGTTTATCCATCCATCAGTGGACACTTGCATTGCATTGCTTTCATCTTTTGGTTGTGTATAATGTTACTATGAAGGGTGCAAATAGAATATACAAATATCTGTTTGAGTGTCTACTTCAGATTCTTTGACGCATATATTCAGGAGTGGAATTGTTGGATCATATGGTAATTCTGGGGCTTGCTCGGTGGCTCAGCGGTAAAGAATCTGCCTGCAATGTGGGAGACCTGGGTTCGACCCCTGGGTCAGGAAGATCCCCTGGAGGAGGGCATAGCAACCCACTCCAGTATTCTTGCCTGGAGCATACCATGAGCAGAGGAGTCTGGTGGGCTGCAGTCCATGGGGTTTCAAAGAGTTGGACACGACTAAAGCAACAGCATGCAACACACTTCGTAATTGTATGTTTAATTTTTTGTTCAGCTCAGTTCAGTTGATCATTCGTGTCTGACTCTTTGTGACCCCATGGACTGCAGCACCCCAGGCCTCCCTGTCCATTACCAAGTCCCAGAATTTACTCAGACTCATGTCCATTGAGTCAGTGATGCCATCCAACCATCTCATCCTCTGTCATCCCCTTCTCCTCCTGCCCTCAATCTTTCCCAGCATCAGGGTCTTTTCCAATGAGTCAGTTCTTCACATCAGGTGGCCAAAGTATTGGAGTTTCAGCTTCAACATCAGTTCTTCCAGTGAACATCCAGGACTGATCTGCTTTAGGATGGACTGGTTGGATCTCCTTGTAGTCCAAGGGACTCTCAAGAGTCTTCTCCAACACCACAGTTCAAAAGCATCAATTCTTTGGCGCTCAGCTTTCTTTATAGTCCAACTCACATCCATACATGACTACTGGAAAAACCATATCCCTGTCTAGACGGACAGTTGTTGGCAAAGTAACGTCTCTGTTTTTTAATGTGCTATCTAGGTTGGTCATAACTTTCCTTCCAAAGAGTAAATGTCTTTTAATTTCATAGGAACTGCCATATTCCTAGAAATATTTTAAAATATTGATGCCTAGTGGGATCCAGTCCTCCAGACTTGTTTCTTTATCTTCCAAGTCATTTTAATGTGCACTCAAGATACAGAACCACCGCCAGAGCCAACAGTGAGGTTTCAGCTTCCTCTTCTCTGATCAAGTTTTTCCATTGTTATCGTATTTGTGATGGTGCTTTGTGATCAGTGATCTTTAATGTTTATACTATGGCTCACTGAAGACTCAAATGATTGTTATCATTTTTTAGCAGTAAAATATTTTAAAATTAAGGTTTGTGCATTAATTATAATAAAATACAATTAAAAATGCATAAAGGTATGTATTTTTAAGACATAATGCTTTATATACTTAACAGACTACAGTACAGTATATACATAAAATTTATGTGCACTAGGAAATCAAAATGTTTCTGTGACTCACTCTATTGTGATATTCACATTATTGTGGTTTTCTGGAACTAAACCTGCAATATCTCTGAGGCATGTCTGTAATATAAAACAATAACGAAGGAAAAGACTTTTCAGCATGTGAGGCTTGTATTATCAGCAATGTTTGATGAAATGTTAACATCTGGTCCCCATTTTATTCCCTTCCCCCAATTCCAGCTATATTAAAGAGTTAAATGTAAAATGTCCACTTATTATCACAAAAAAGAAAAACTTCAAAGAAATATGTTATCATGTATTTCTGGAATAGTGAAGATTTTCTACATTTAAAAACAATGGTAACTATCAAGAAGAAACTATTAAGAGAAGTAATTCTACTAAAAGCAAAAAACCTTAAATTTAAAAGCAAAACAAAATATTGGTAATATATTTGCAGTAAATATAACCAAGGGTTAATATTTTAAAACAAAAAGAATATACTAAATCTAAATAAAATGCTAAGATCCCAATAGGTAGTAAACATGAAGAGATATTAATTTAAAAATATAACTAGATAAACTAAAGGATATGTTAACATTGATATTTGTTGTTGTTATGTCCGACTCTTTGCAACCCCATGAACTGCAGCATAACAGACTTCCCTGTCCTTCACTGTATCCGAGAGTTTGCTCAAATTCATGCCCATTGAGTCAGTGATGCCATCCAATCATTTTATCCTCTGTCACCCACTTCTCCTCTTGCCCTCAGTCTTTCCCAGCATCAGGATCTTTTCCAATGAGTCGACTCTTTGCATCAGTATTGGAGCTTCAGCATCAGTCCCTCCAATGAATATTCAGGGCTGATTTCCTTTAGGATTGACTGGCTTGATCTCCTTGCAGTCCAGGGGAATCTTAAGAGTATTCTCAAGCACCACCATTCTAAAGCATCAGTTCTTCAGTGCTCAGCCTTCTTTACGGTCCAGCTCTCACATCTGTACATGACCACTGGAAAAACTACGTGTGTGCTTAGTAGCTCATTTGTGCTCAATTCTTTGCAACCCCGTGGATTATAGCCCACCAGGCTCCTGGGTCCATGGAATTCTCCAGGCAAGAATATTGGAGTGGGTTGCTATTTCCATCTTCAGAGGATCTTCCCCACCCAGGGACTGACCTGGGTCTCCTGCATTGCAGGCAGATTCCTTACCGTGGGACCCACCAGGAAAAACTGTAGCTTTGACTACAATGGACCTTTGTCAGCAAAGTGATATCTCTCTTTTTTAATATGCTGTCTAGGTTTGTCATAAGTATTATCTAATATCTAATATTATAATATTAGATAATATTTATTGAATATTTATTATATGCTAGATGCCATGTTATGTACTTTGCCCATATTATTTTATTTAATCCCCACAAATCTTTAAACTAGGTTCTATTAAGATCCTAGGTTTATAGATGAGTAAGTAACAGGAGAGGTTAGGTGGCTTTGTGGCTGAGTTTTCTCTCTCAGTTCTTTTTGTATTTATCATATTTGTGTGTGTGCTCAGTTGCTAAGTCATGTCCAGCTCTTTGAGGCCCTGTGGACTGTAGCCCGCCAAGCTCCTCTGTCCATGGGATTTCCCAGATAAGCATCCTGGAGAGGTTGCCATTTCTTTTTCCAGATCTTCCTGACCCAGGGGTTGAACCTGAGTCTCCTGCTTGGCAGGCAGATTCTTTACCACTGAGTCACCAGGGAAGCCCTTTTTGGAATTAGCCTGTTGTTATTCTCATTATCTTTATCAATAAGTAATAATCGTGTATTATGCACACATGCATGCTAAGTCACTTCAGTCGTGTCCAACTCTTTGCGACCCTGTGGACTATAATTCACCAGGTTCCTCTGTCCATGGGATTCTCCAGGCAAGAATACTGGAGTGGGTTGCCATGTCCTCCTCCAGGGGATCTTCCCAACCCAGGGATTGAACCATCATCTCTTTAATCTCCTACATTGGCAGGCAGGTTCCTGGCAGGCTACAGTTCATGGGATTGCAAGAGTCGGACACAACTTAGCACTATCTTTCTTTTCTTTCTTTACCACTAGCACAACCTGGGAAGCCTCATTGTTTATCATAATCTATAGAAATAGTGTCAGACTCATTTCATTTTACAGTATTACCTTTAGCAGATTCTAGCATATTAGAGTTATCTAATTTAGGGATACTATGAACCAATAAAATAGGTACTTCAAATTATTGAATTAGAATACAATATTATATAAAATTCAAGCTTTTCTATGTAATTTATAGAATCTGATTTTAAAAAGCTACATGATTTTAGGATTACAATCTTAAATTTCTTTTGGAACCTTAGGCAAAAAACTTGGGAAAAATTTTTAGAGAGGTAGTGACAAGAGAAAATTCTTTTTTTGGTCTGTGTAGCGTATTTTTGTTTGTTTAATTGTTTTGCTTTGCTTTTGGTCTATTCTCGCCAATTTTAAAGCCTCCCCCCTTTAAAAAATTACCCTTCTTTTTAACTCCTAAAGGCCAAGAGTTTAATTTTCAATTAGCTTTATAGAAGTCCATATGCATTGCATAGATTTGGTAAATATACTTGACAGATGATAATTTCAGAAAATTTTGTTTATTTAAGCTGACGAAAAAAAAAAAAGACTTGCAAACCAATTGATTCCAACATCTGTCATGTTTGGACAGAGTGTTTAAACCACAGTTTGAATGTAAATTGAGTTTTGGCTGGCAAACAGGTTCATATTTCAGAAATGGTTTACCTCAAGTATATTTTGAGGATAAATGTTTTTTACCTTTTCCAAACGTTTATGCTAATTCAAGCATGGATGAGTTTAAAGGCAGAGGAGAAAGCTCTTGGCGAGGGAGGGATTAAAGACAGTGGTGAGAAGATTGTACCACTATTATCCCAGCATGAAGACGTGCATATTTGAAGTCTCTTTTCCCTTCTTAACTCTTATCAAACCAGTCAACCAGTCTTATAAATTCACTGTCTACAGTGTCTGTCCATTGCTTCCTTTCTTCCCTGATTTACATTGCTAGTATCCCAATTTAGTCCCCGACCCCATAACTTAACCTAGGCAATTAAAATAACTTAATATTTCATTTCCTTGATTCTGGTTTCTCCTACCTTCATTCTGTCTCACTCAGGGCACCAGACACGTTTTCTTAAAGGACAGCCTTCCCCATCTTGCTCTCCCACACAGAATTTTTATGACTTTCTTTAAGTTTGAATTCCTTAGCCGATACTGCAAATTTCTACATCTAATTGGTGATGCCACACATTCGGTCTAATTTGCTGGCTTTTCAGGTGTTTCCAGCAGTCTGAGATGGCGAGACGTTCCCACTTGTGTTCTTACTACTCTCCAAGCATATTTTACACAATCCTGGCTGTGTGGTTTTGTTCAGGTAATTATCCATTTTCTCAAATTTGGTTTTCCATTTTAATAATATATTTTAGGAAGGTAGAGAGGTTGTATAAAGTTTGTCTAGATTCCTGAGCCTAGGTGTTGCATCTTCCTCCTTTTTTAAATAGACTATTTTTCAGGGAAGTTTTATGTTTATAGCAAAATTGAGTGGAAAGTACACAGAGTTCCCATACAACCCTTCCTCCCACACATACACAAACTTTCCTACTATAAACACCCCAAATCAGAGCCACGCACTCGTCACAGCTGATAGACCTACATCAAAATTATCCAAAACCGTCATTTACATCAGGGTTCATTCACTCTTAGTGTTGAACATTCTTTGGGATTGGACCCATGTATAACAGCATCTATCTTCCATTTTAATATCACACAGAACAATTTCACTGCTCTAAGATTCCTCTGTGCTTTTCTTTTTTAAAAAATAACTTTGACTTCTAGCCTCTTCTCTAAAATAAGTTATTTATTTATTTATTGACTGTGCTGGGTCTTTGTTGCTGTGTGCAGGCTTCTCATTGCACTGAAAACCACATTACTTAGCTGTGTTAGAGAATACACAAGGCAAAGAAACTGCTTTAAACATGAAACTTGAAAAAAATGACAATGCCAGGGAGAAAACATCTTTGCATTATTCCCCTCTTATGAGCACATGTACAAATCTGATTTGTAATATGAGCAGCAGACTTTTTGAATGAGGAAAAAGATTAATATGTGCAAGTGCGTGATATATGATACAAAAAAGAATGGAAAAACCACATGCTTGTTCTAATAAATTAAAGAGCCAGCATAAAATAAGAGGTGTTTTTGATCATCTCAGTCCAGAAAGAGACAAGAACAATTCTCAAATAAGGTTTCATTTAGCCTTTCTACATCCGTATACATAGTACCTCAATTTTATAAAGTACACATAAAGAGTAGGGCCCCAAATTGGCAATTAAATATCCAACATTTACTTATTTGCTGGTCTGGGTTGCTTTATAATGGTCTGTTGTTTTGACGCCTGATAAAAAAAAAACCTCTAAGGTTAGCAAAACTTGGCAAATAGACTTACAAAATTGGGAGTTAGACTGGATTTGAATGTAGGCTTGGGAAGTTGATATGCTTGAGCCTCATCTTCACATGAAAATATTTAGACACTTTGCTGGATTCATTAGTAAATAGAGGTAGAATAGCTAGCACAGAACTCAACATTCAATAGTGGATGGGGATAAATCTTATTGAGAGGACAATGTGGTGGAAATAACCTAGACTGGGGATCTGCATGAATTTTATCTGGTCCTGATTGGAGGATTGACTTTTGAGGGATATTTGTGTCATCTTTCCCACCTTCAATTTCCTCGTCTCTAAAATGAGAAAACTGGACGAGATCAGCTGGCTAAACATTTTTATAGTAACCCAACCCTTTGTGTAAATGAAGTCTTAAACAAAAGGTCAGTGTTTGGAAAATGATAAAAGCAGAGTTGGTAGGGTTAAACCTAGCAAGTGGGGCCAGAACCAACCCCTCGACCTCCCCTCTTACCACCTCCCAGGACTGCCCAGGCACCTCCTATGACATCTTGGACTCAACAGAGCCTGGGAATAGATGATTGCCGAGATGCTCTGAACAGGTCTTTCTGCTCTGTGGATGTGTCTACAGTATAATGGCTTGATGATTTTTTTTTTTAAATTAAACCAACAGTTTATTGTGTCTCTCTCAGAAAGAGCCCAGACAGTATTCTTTATAACAAGAATGATGGAATGATGCAGTCTATCTTAACAATTAAATATGCTTAGTGACCATTGCTCAAAACTCATTAAAGAATGAACCAAAATGCCATAAGAGTGTGACTTGGTGACTCAGACAAGAAAGAATCTGCCTGCAGTGTGGGAGACCTGGTTTGATCCCTGGGTTGGGATTTTTCCAGTAGTCATGTATGGATGTGAGATTTGGACTCTAAAGTAAGCTGAATGCTGAAGAATTGATGCTTTTGAACTGTGGTGTTGGAGAAGACCCTTGAGAGTCTCTTGGACTGCAAGGAGATCCAACCAGTCTACCCTAAAGGAATTCAGTCCTGAATATTTGTTGGAAGGACTGATGCTGAAGCTGAAACTACAATACTTTGGCCACCTCTTGCAAAGAACCGACTCATTGGAAAAGACCTTGATGCTGGGAAGATAGAAGGCAGGAGGAAAAGGGGATGACAGAGGATGAGATGGTTGGATGGCATCACCAACATGATGGACATGAGATTGAGCAAGCTCCGGGAGTTGGTGATGGACAGGGAAGCCCGGGGTGCTGCAGTCCATGGGGTTGCAAAGAGTCAGACATGACCAAGTGACTGAACCGAACTGAGATTCTACTCTCACTTTATCTTCAAATTCCCCTTTATAGGAGGAGCCATTACAGTCATTTTACAGATGTGGAAAATGTAACTTCATCTTCAAAGAGATCTGAAATCACATAGGCTATTAAGTGGCAAGGCCAATCTGCAAGCCCAGTTTTCATGAGACCATGTTCAGTCCTCTTTTTATAAGTCATAAAAGCCAGGGAAGATACAGACAGAAAAATGTAAACACTTTCCTTTACCAAGAGTGTGTTTTTCCTAATCTGCTTGAGAATCCAAAGTATTTCAGAGACTCTCTCTGAATCATCTGATGACACAGAGTTCATAAGGATTCAGGTCTATCTGGATTTTTCAAAGGCATGATGGGTAAATAGTCTTTATGTTTCAAATTATAGTACAAACATTTCCATCCTGATATTAATATTTATGGATTTTTTTTGAGTTTCAATGAATAGTTCTCCTGATAATTCCTAAATCTTCAGAAAAACCTTGCTTTCATAAGTAACAAATTGTGTTATTATCCACATCTGTTCTCATTTTCTATAGGCTTAAAAAGTCCCTATTTATTATGGGAGCCAAAAGAAATCACTCTTCACCAGTGTCTATCGAATTCTGGCTCATTTTCTCACTTAATTCTTTATTCACCAATGAAATGCTTATCCAAAATAAATAAGGGACCTACTAAACTGCAGTGATTAACTTGCAATGAGTCTCAGATTCCATTCACTTACGGAAATGGAATAAAATCCAACACTTTAGTTATACTGTTGTGATGTCAGTGGCCCAATTAGGCTGTTAGAACTGCAGGAGTTACTATTTTAATATCACATTAGCACATCATTAACTTGAACCATACCAAAGCAGTATGAAAATGAACAATTTTCATTTTTTAAAAGAGACAATATGAACTTTTCCTGCTGCTTAAATTTGTTTCACGTGTCTATTGGGATGGGGGTGGTAACAGAGGATATGTAGAGTGCAGTTACATTTTAAATTAATAACAAGTTGCTCTTGAAAAGTGTGTATATTTAGAAATTAAATCTAGGGTATATTTTTAAAATGAAAAATTAGATGAATCCTTATATATTAAATTTTTTGGTATGCCTTTGTCTGTATAATTTTGTATAGCTTTGTTAGCTGCCTGAAAATCTTTTCTGGATCAAGATGGGTTAGAAATAAGCAAATAAGCAAATACATGAAACACTCTTTTCTATTTCCAAATTATGCCTATTGACGGAAGCTCTAAAGAAATATTTTGAATGGATGATTGCTATTATCTATGTGGCCAAATTATTATTATTTTTTAATTTGACACACATATCCCATTTTATTTTTATTATAATTTCAAATTGTAAAGTACTTTACAATTTCTAGTTGATGCAGTGGTAAAGAATCCATCTACCAATGTGGGAGACTCAGGTTCAATTCCTGGGTTGGGAAGATACCCTGGAGGAGGAAATGGCAACCCACTCCAGTATTCTTGCCTGGAAAATTCCATGGACAGAGGATCCTGGCAGGCTATAGTCCATGGGTTCGGAAAGAGTCAGACACAACTGAGCATACATGCACTTACAATTTCTAAAGCACTTGAACAGATTATAGCATTATTTCATCTTCATGTTACCTTGTGATATGGTCAGAGCAAATATCCACCTCTTCATTACACAGATGAGGAAACTGGGTTTTGACAATTAAATGCTAAATGACATCCTAGGTCAACACAAATCCATTTCCATTGTTTGTTTCTGCATGACTTTGGAAAAATTACTACTCAATGCCTCAGTTTTGACATCTGTAAAATGGGAACAAGCAGATAAGTATTGCTTGTAAGATTGTTGTGGGGAATAAATGAGATAGTCCATAAAACTCTTAGTATAGCACCTGAAACATGGCAAATATCTATAACTACTAACTGCTGTTATTATCATAGTTTTTGAAAGAAAACTGCTAAAGATAATTAAACTACAGAATGAAATTATAATACAGTATGAAACTGTTTTCACACTGTTGCTACGATACTCGTATAACATTACTTGTATAATGTTAATTGTCCACAAATTTTCTTTAGATTGATTTGCTCAGAATTGTTTCTGACCCCTTTACTCCTGGGGTTCATTTTCTTTCTTGCTGATGTGTGTCCTTCTGTCCTTTCATGAGGGCCTGGGAGGAGTAAAGATGTTTATATTTTGTACATCTGAGAAAAGCCACAATTTTTGCCTTCATTCCGAAATGACGGTTTAGCTGGGGGGAGACTCTGGCTGTAGCCAGTGGGAAGGCTGGCGTACTTCTGACTACCGCTCCTCGGTTGGCCATCCGTCCTTTCTCTCCGGGAACTCTCAGGACCAGGTGAAGAGTCTGGTTGTCCTTCCTGCTCTGCACTTGCGCTATTGCGCACTGATGGAGGAACTTACCTTTACTGATTACATTTGATGTTAAGCTACCACTTTGAATTAGATGCTTGTGGATATATTGAAGTTAGCATCACTTAAAGGAAAATATTCTTTCCCACCATTTCCTGTATTATTTTCTCCTGGAACGCCTATTAAGGTGTATGTTAGAACTTCTCATTCCATACTTCCTATCTCTAAATTTGCAATAGTATTTTCTCATGACTTAATTTTTCAGTTAAATATTTTACCTGCATTCTGGGTGATTTTCTCAGATCTGTTTGTATTCTCTCTTTAGCTGTGCTTAGTCTAATTTTTTATTTATAGAATTTCTATTTAGTTGTTTAAAATCTGCTTTTTTCTTTTTAAAAATAATCATTTGCTCTTCTTTGCCTTATTTTCTCTTCCTTTATCCCTTGAATAATTAAACATACTGTTTGTAATACTGCATTCTGTTTGCTCTATCCTGAAATTCCTTGGGTATAATTTCTCTTGTAGTTTCTCCTTCTGATATTCTTCCATTTGGGCGTGGTAGGTTATGGTCTGTGCGCACATATGGCATGACAGTGCTATGTGGGCATCCCATGCATGCCCCAAGTGGTCGTAGAGTTTTTATAAAGACAATGTCATACATGCCTTTCTGGAACCCTGGAGAAGATAACAGTTTCGTGCTGATGTTTACTCCAGTTCTGGGCTTGAAATGTCCAAACTCTTTGGGCCATGTAGGAGTTCGGGTCCCATGGGCAGTACAGACTCAAGGCTGCAGAATCTGGCAGCATAATCTGCTTTTATCCTTGGCCTTGATGTGGACCTTGGTCCTGCTTGCTGTGGTGTGGTGATTCAATGCTGGCATAGTGCCTCACACAAAATGCATACCAAATGAATGCTTATTGAATGAAAATTTGCAGAACTAGCCTTCATAAGCACCACTTTTACAAGGCTAGAAACTCCTCTGAACTTGCTNTACTTGGGTGATGTATATGTTTCCATTCTACTCTCTGAATCTGTGTCACTGTCTCCCTTCCATACTGTGTCCACGAGTTTGTTCTCTATGTCTTTTGTCTCCATTGCTGCCCTGCAAATAGGTTCATCAGTACCATCTTTCTAGATTCCATATACATCCATCGAATTATCTTTAAATTTAAAAAATTGAAGCTGAAACTGGAAATTCTAGAAATTAGCATCTGAAGACCCCTCTATCAGTTCTTCTTACCCATCCTACCCCTTTAGTAACAATGTGCAAGTTTCCAGAAAGATGCTGCTTGTTGTTCTTAAACTATGCGGTTATACAGTTCAAATATTTTATATTTGTTTTATATTGTTTTATATCAGATCACTAAAAATCAGGCCCAGCCTTAAGTTAGAAAATAAATAGTCTTGAAAAGTAGCCTGAATATCTTGACCACTTTTGGATAAGGGTTTGCTGAAACTTATGAAGGACCAGAATAAAGAAGTTGGCTTTGCAAAGGAAACTTCCACACAGAAACTGATTTTAATTGAGGGCAACTAAAAAGAGAAATTTTCATGAATTGAGGTATGGAGAAGTCATTTTGACTTATACAAGAGTTAAGTTGAATTTCATGCTAACTACAACAGCCTATTTTCTTGCCTATCAAACAGACACTGCACATCTGCTTTAATTACTAAAGAAAATGACACATCGACCTGAAGTAAAGAATGTCCATGTTAAAACGAAGGATTACAAGTTCCCCTTCCTGAGACACCAAAGATTGTGCTTCCCTTCCAGGCACCAGGGTCATACTGACCCACTGTGGACATGTCGGGTTTCTTTTTTTTGGGAAATCTTGAAGATATGTATCCCTGACTTGTTTAAAGTTTGTTCTGACAAGATATAAAACTGTGCTGAAAACCAGGCTTCTTGGGAGCAGTTTCTCAGAGTAACCTGGGAAGTTGACTGCCGGCCTATATAGTCTTAAGTTTGGCTCAAATAAAACTCTTTTTTATTCTTATTATTGACTGATTACTGATTATTTTCATTGACACAATATTAATACTGTTCTAATGTATTTATGGTTGCTGGTACAAGATATAGGGAAAAAGTTGCTGAAAAGAAAAAGAAGCCAGCAAAGCTACAGAGAATTTAATTAGTCTATTAATTAATTAGTCTATTAATATAGCTGTCCCAGTGCTCTCTTTACATTTGTAGCACTTGGATTCTGATATAAAAGCACATGAAACTAGTAAGGAAATAGCTTTGAATCCCACTCTTAGCAGTATAAAAATATAACAACCATTGTCCCTAAAAAGTCTAACAACATTTACATTAGCTGTGTTATTATTGAGCAAGTGGAATTAGTAATGTGCTATTAACTATTTTCACCAAGTTCTGGTAGATATGGTTATCAACCCCATCAAACAGCAAAGGGCTAGAGAGAAAAAATGGAATTTGGTGATATAAGAACCAGATTCCTGTCTCTTTTTTGCTGGTTAGATGCTGTAAGAGCTTGGGTGTTGAAATTCTTTATTCCTTTGCTTCCTTTCCCCCAAAATGAGGATAATGAGACCTCCTCCACAGAGTTATGGCAAGGATTAAATAACATAATACCTCTAAAGATACTTCGCAAACTTGAAGCAGCAGCTATCAAAGCGAGGTCCTTGGTTCTGCCATGTGGACCTCACCTGGGGACTTAAAAGAAATGCAAATTCTTGACTGGTTCCTGGTCCTAGTTCCTTCCCAAGTTCTTTCCCAAAGTCCTAGTTCTTAGGACACCCTTATGGCCCTAAAAAATTCCCTTTTTCACTTAAGCTAGGCTCAATGCTTTTGAATTAGCTGCAGTGAATCATCTCGCTGAGTGAAGGAGAACATCCACAGGCAACTCAGCTCCTCTCCCATAGGACTGTTGGATCTATGACCTTTTTCTCTGCCTGCCCAAGATCCTTTTATAGTCCATCAACTTCCTTTCTTTATCCTTTCCTCTGCAGTAAACTTGGATGTTTGGATGCTGGATTAGTTATGTGCTTATTTTTTCACGTTTCTCTCTCCATCTCTACACATCTGCACACCCCTCCCCTGCCCCCACCTCTGCACCTTCATGCACATTTTTTTTTTAACATTTTGTAAATTTCCAGGTTTTGACAAAGTTCCAGTCATCATCCTCAAACATCCTTACCACAGGTTGAAATTCTCTGAATTTCATTGCTCTAAAATAGTAAATTACTTGCTCATGCAGTTAAACAAAATGTGAAATTCTTTGCCAAATCCCTATTGTGTAGACCTTAAACATTCCAGTTTTATCTGCTTTCCTGTCCCACCAGATATCAAGACTGACACACTCCATATCTCATCTCATAACTTCTCAAGGATGAGTGAACTATGTTCAAAAATAGAATTATGGAAATTCAGAGTTGGAAGATATCCAACTTTTTCCCCTTGCAGGGGTCCCTGTTACAAACTTCCTGCTTTTTGGCCATCTAACCTCTTATACAAGCGCAGTGATGGAGAGTTGTGTGGCTTTCATAATGAGTGCTTCCTTCCATTAAAATAAAACCTACCTCTTTGTCACATCCAAACTTGGCCCCCGTAGAACCCTTTAGAGCAAATATATTCCCTGTGTTCTACAACAGCATCATCTCTCAATTTTTCTTTCTTAGGGTAAATGATATCGACCACCTTTTAAAAAATGTTTTAGATTTATTTTTTTATTGAGACATTATCATTATATACCATTATACAAGTCTCACATGTACATTATATTTCTATTCCTGTATACCCTTTGGTATGCTCATCACTAGAAGTGATCTCGATGCAAAAAGACCTCTAAGACATGTAAAATGTCAAAAGTAAAATCATCAAAATCATCAAGAGTCCTTTAAGTGTTTTTTGTTAAGTGGGTTTATGGGGTCATATTCCTTAACATTTTCTTGTGACTATGACCATATTTCACAGTGCCTTTTTAAAATGTGGCCCTTGAAAATTGAACATAATAATTGGAATGTGATCTGAATGTCCATCTTTCTGGAAGTATATAAGGACTATATTTTGCAAAGACTTTTATCATCTTGTTGGCTCCTAAGATCTTTTTCTTTTTATGTTGTTAAGACTTCTGAATTCTACAGTAGGAGTTTAAAACAAGAAATGTAGGACTTATGTAACTACCATCACAATTGTAGTATATAATTAAGAAAACTGGTCACCTTACACTTTCTCTGTACCCACTGACTTAGCTGCACCTTACCCTCATCTCCTCCCTATTTTTATAGGCTAAGTTGACCTTCTTTTTTAACCAAAACTAACCTCTCCACCCATGTAATTCACTCTTTTCTTTCTCTCTGGGAGCTTGCCTTAATTCTTCTTTTTTTTTTTTTTCTATTTTTCTGGCTTTGCCACTTTTACTTCTAAATTATTTCAAATCTCTTCCATTACAAATGAAACAATCTGTCTTATAGCAACTACCTTATCTCTTTCCTTTCTTTTATTACCAAGTGTCTTTAAAAAAGTGCATGCTACACTTACTCACCTATCATTTATTTTTTAAAATATACTTTAATTTGTCTTCCCTCTCAACCACTCTACCGAAATTGTTCCTATTAAGTCTAACAATTGGTCTGATTGTGAATTGAAGGTCGTTTTAAAGTCCTTATCTTAGGTGTGATATTGGATACCCAAATCACTCTTCCTTCTTGCAGCTCTGTTTCCATGGCTTTCATGGCCCAAGATCCTTCAGGTTTCCCCCTGACTCTCTAACCATCTTTTCCAGTTTATCCATGGATTTCTGTTCCTCTTAATGGTGCTTAAAACCTGGAGCGCCCACAGTAACACTAGACTTACTGTTGATAAAATCTTTGGCTCCTCTCACCTGTGCCTGGCCTCCAGTCTTCTCCTCCTTCTTTGCCCATCACAAGCACCCTCCATATTGCTTCCTGAATGATCATGTGAAATGCAAGTCTGAACTTGCTGTTTCCTGGCTGAATTTCTGCTTCAGCTCTTCACGCTTAAGTGACGAAATCCCATTCCTTTACATGACATACCATGGGGTTGCAAAGAGTTGGGCTCGACTGAGTGACTAAGAACACACACTCCTCAATTAAGCTGAGTATTATGAGGAGCTGGGATAAAACATTTTTCATTTTTTTGTATCTATATCTCCTAACAAAGGGCCTAAATGAATGATTAACCACTATATGGCAATTTGTTACTTACATCATTCTACATTTTTATAAATATCATTCTACATTCATCTTTTATTATAGCTAGTTTTGATTTAGTCCAACATTCCAGGCTGTCCTGCTTTTTTAGTTCTCCAGTTGACCATCAATGCTATTCATTATCTTTCCATTCTTTGTGGTACTGGCAAATTAGACATGCATTCTGTCTTAGTCTCAATCCAAATCATTAACAGCAAATGTTGAATAGGATGAATCCTAGGCTAGAATTCTAGAGCTAATGAGTAGTATCCAGCACCTAATGTCTCACTCTTTTTTTTTTTAAACAAATTGCAAAAATTAAGTATCTTTGCAAATAGCTCAATTTCAGATGGAACTTATGCATTTGATTCCACCTACTGTCTTATATTTCCTCTTTTGCCAATGTCTTACCTAATGTCTTCATTAAAAGACAGCGTAAAACTAATCTTTAATGAAATCTTGTGCTACTACATGCGTCTCATTCTTTCACCACTGAATACTCACCAAAGAATTAAGTGGACTGAATACATTTTATTTGTTAATAGAGTAATAAAATATAAGAGCACTGCCACTTTCCATTGGTTACACCAGAGGTCCTGTATTAATAATTGTAACACACAATTTCTCTTTATAATTGCTTCAAGGAAAAATATTCCATTATTTGTCAAGCAAATATACAATTTCATCTCTCAGAAACTCATAAAACATCATTTTAAAATTGACTGTAGAAATCTTTAATTTGATAATTAATATATGCACATGCACATACCTTACAAGTGCCAGCTTCTTTTCTAAGTGTCATATAAATATATTATACAAATATATACATTCCTTAGAACAACTTTATGAGGAGGTATTATTCTTTATCTGTTTTACAGCTAAGACATTGAATCACAGAGAGGTTAAGTAACTTGTGTAAGGTTGTACAGTTAGTAAGTGATATGGGCACCCCTGGTGGCTCAGATGGTAAAGAGTCTGCCTGCAATATAGGAGACCTGGGTTGGATCTGTGGGTTGGGAAGACCCCCTGGAGAAGGAAATGGCTACCCACTCCAGTATTCTTGCCTACAGAATTCCATGGACAAAGGAACCTGGCAGGTTACAGTCCATGGGGTTGCAAAGAGGCAGACAGGACGGAGTGACTTTCACTTTCACTTCCAATGTTTATCAGGCTTGGTAGAAAATTCTCAAGTGTATAGTTAGCACAAATTCTAACCATCACTGTCCTACCTAACATATAGCCATATCCTTGTCAGAAATGATCATCTCCCTCCATACAACACACCCAACTCTCTTTGCATGCATACTGTTAGTGGGTGGGCAGAGTTCCTGGGTTTAGAGTACCAGTGATGGAAACTGGTGGGTGGAGAAGAAAAAAAGTTCCCGTAACCTAATTTGTTTTGTTTTGTTTTTGTGATGAATGGATACATTTATTTTACTTTATTTGGGATATCAAAGAATGTTATTCCATAATTCATGCACATAAAAAGAGAATAAGCAAAATTACAAAACAAATGATCACTGAACGAGAGGTTTTCAGATCACAATCTAATTTGTTTCTGATAGGCTTCAGAGGGAATTGGGGATGGAAAAAGGCTCATCATTGCCTTCTTTATTATTATAGTCATAACCATTATCTTCATTGTGGTAGGAAATGTTCTTTCCCTTTCCCAGTATTTCTCTCTTGGCCCACAAAAAGGAACTTGGCCCTCCTGACTATATTAGGAAGAAAACATGGGAGTTCCCCACCCCCAGCTTCACTCCTCCTTG